CCATAAAACTTTTGATGATAGAATCCTGCGTTACCGTAAGGACCCTGAACTACGGGAATCATGGTATATTCCTGTGTGTAGGTAATGCAGATTTATATCATCACCCGTAGGGATCTATAGTAAATAACAGGATTTCTTTATTATGGTAACTTAATTTAAATCCCTTAACAAGAACCCAGTAGCGGTCACGAGCTCTCTTCTCCTTGAAGGGATATGGGATCTGTAGGGTTTCGGGTTTACTATAGTGGCCTTCAGATTTATCTATCATATTATTTTCATGTTCCTTACTATAAACATAGTCAGTTTAGGGTTTACGTGTTCAGGAATTACGGGTTTTGTGTTTAAGTTAAGGTATACCTCTCTCCCTGACACGTTCCTTGGAAGGATTCTATAAGGATGCTATTCAACAGGCTTGCAGCCTCCGTTGTAGTTCCTTCTTGTGTAGGTTGCCTAGTCTTTTTTAGGATCCTAACCATAAACTTGGTTACTCCAAGTACCCTGAACCCTAAACCCTAAACCCCTAAACCCCTAAACCCTAAACCCCTAAACCCTAAACCCTAGTTTGCTTCTATTCGACAACCCTAAACCCTAAACCCTAAACCCTAAACCCTAAACCCAAAAGCCCTTCACCCGAAACCCGAAACCCGTCGGCTCTGGGGTGCCTTGTTGATTTGTTCCTTTATTGGGGTTCTGGTTGCTCTTTTCAGGGATCTCCAAAACCCTCAACCCTAGAAGGAGGGTTTAGGGTTTAGGGTTTAGGGCACTGTTGATGGTATAAAGTTGCCTTAAGGACCCTAAAGTGCTGTTGATGAACGGTTTTGGGTTAAAAGTTTATGGTTTGCCTGAGACTATGGGAACTGTGGCGCAGCATGTTTTGGTTAATGCTGGATTTATATCATCAACCGTACTACTACAGGGATCTCCAAAAGCACTAATATAGGGGCCTTAATCATAAGAAAAGGGTGTGGGGGTATATTATACTACAATTATGATCAGGAGCCCCCAAAACCCTATTCTACTTATTATTGCGGCCCCTACATTAACGCTTTGGTGACCTCTGCGGAGGAGAGGATGGGATCCGTTTCAGCAAGCCGCCTACTTCCGAACTCAGGGTTCAGTTTTGGGTTCAGGGTTTTAGGTTTTAGTTTAGGGTTTAGGGTTTTAGGGTTTTGGGTTTTCGGGTTTTGGGTTTTGGGTCAGGTTGTGACTATCAAAATGTGTTGAGCATTACACAAGACGCTAAAGAGACAACTCTTCTCATCGAGGACTTCATCTTGAATCAAGTCTTTTGCAGCTCTAATTGACTTCGCTATACCATAAAGCTCCAGTTTGGAATACATAAAAGATTTGAACAATGCTTTCATTCGTTTACGCAGACATGGGTCGTTCTCTAAATAAGGGTCCTCTAGGAGTCCCTCAACCACGGTTTAGGGGTTTAGGGTTTAGGGGTTTGGGGTTTACTAAACCCTAAACCTAGATATAGGTGAGTGGACATACATTCTTGCTAGGGTCTAGGAGTTAGGGTTGAAGGTTTAGGGTTTAGGGTGTAGGAGTTTAGGGTTTAGGGTTTAGGGTTTTAGGGTTTAGTCTTTAGGGTTGAGGGCTTAGGGTGTAGGGGCTTCGGGTTTAGGGTATAGGCCTGACACCCTAAACCCTAAATGGTGGCTCACACAACCTGAGTTTGCTCCGGCAGCATTTGGATAGTTCTCTAGATTCCGGTTGCTTTTCGGGTCCGTTTTATAAGGGTGCCGTACTATGTTGGGGATTTTAGAGAACTACCCATTTGTGCTCAACATCTTCTCAGAGTTTCAACAAGTCTGTCACGCGGCTAGTCTACTGACATGGTACCCTACTTACCCTTTGAGCCATAAACCTTAAACCCTAAACCCTAAGCTCCTACACCCTAAACCCTCAACCCTAAAGACTAAACCCTAAAACCCTAAACCCTAAAGCCTAAACTCCTACACCCTAAACCCTAAACCTTCAACCCTAAATCCTAGACCCTAAACTCCTGAACCTTACACCTTCAACCCTAAACTCCCGAACCCTAATCTTGCCGCGACGGCGTGCCAGAAGAGATTCATCGTATGCCCGGTTTACGGTTTAGGGTTGAAGGCTTCGGGATTTAAGGTTTTAGGGCTTTGGGATTTAGGGCTTTAGGGTTTTAGGCACTAAACCCTAAACCCTAAACCCTAAATTAGAGTTAGGGTTTAGGACCCGGTGAGTGAAGATTCAGCTTTCCCCACTTGTCGCACGTGGGTAGTTCTCTAAGTGAAGGTCCCGTTCAAGGGGTCCCTTAAAGGGATCTATCAGGGTTTCTATAGGGGTAAACCCTAAACCCTAAACCCTAAACCTGCGAAAAGGGTGATCTCAGGGTAGTTCTCTAAATTCGGCTCCCGTCTGAGGTCCCTTAGGGTTTAGGGTTTAGGGTTTAGGGTTTAGGGTTTAGGGTTTAGGGTTCTTTTTATGAAGGTGCCGCACCATCTTGTGGACCCGAAACAGGGGCCCTAGTATCGAGAACTACCCATGTCGATTTCGGTGCAAGTTGCATTGCTGAGCGGCAAGGCAGTTACTGTGGAAGTCGGCCTAGAGGAAACGGTTGCAACGTTGAAATGTCAAGCACAAACCGCACTTGGAGTCGGAAGCGGACGGCTGCTGAACTCATCTGGAAGCGTACTGAATGTGTCTGCAACGATCAAGACAGCCAGGCTGGAGAATGGTGACTCTCTGACAATGCACATCAACCAAATTCAAGTTCAAGCCACTTATGCCGATGCTTTTGCTGCCATTCTTGGTGATGGATCCGTCGTGACCTGGGGTAGTGCTAACTACAGTAGCGACGCTGGCCCTGTGCAAGGCCGGCTGGAGAATGTGCAACAGATCCAGGCCACCAGTGTCGCTTTTGCCGCCATTCTTGGCAACGGGTCCGTTGTCACATGGGGTGATCCTGACCATGGTGGTGACAGCAGTGATGTGCAGGATCAGCTGCAGAATGTGCAGCAGATTCAAGCCTCTTACCGCGCTTTTGCAGCCATTCTTGGCGACGGATCCGTCGTGACCTGGGGTAATGCTGACGACGGTGGTGACAGCAGTGCTGTTAAGGAGCAGCTGAAGAATGTGCAGCAGATCCAAGCTACTAGCTTCGCTTTTGCTGCCATTCTTGGCAATGGATCCGTCGTGACCTGGGGTGATGCTGGCAGTGGCGGTGACAGTGATGCTGAGCAGGATCGGCTCAAGAATGTGCAGCAGATCCAGGCCTGTAACAACGCTTTTGCTGCCATTCTTGTCGATGGTTCCGTCGTGACTTGGGGCGATTCTGGCGATGGTGGTGACAGTAGTGTTGTGCAGGATCAGCTGAAGACTGTGCAGCAGATCCAAGCCACTGAGAGTGCTTTTGCTGCCATTCTTCGCGATGGATCGGTCGTTGCCTGGGGTTCTGCTCACGGTGGCGGTGACAGCAGTGATGTGCAGGACCGGCTGAAGAATGTGCAGCATATCCAAGCTGCTGGCGACGCTTTTGCTGCCATTCTGGGCGATGGAAGCGTCGTGACCTGGGGTGATGCTGACAGCGGTGGTGACAGTAGTGCGGTGAAGGATCAGCTGAAGAATGTGCAGCAGATCCAAGCCTGTGACAGCGCTTTTGCTGCCATTCTTGGCAATGGGTCCGTCGTGACCTGGGGCAATTCTGACAATGGTGGTGACAGTAGTCTTGTGCAGGATCAGCTGAAGAACGTGCAGCAGATCCAAGCCTCTTTCCGCGCTTGTGCTGCCATTCTTGGCGACGGATCCGTCGTGACCTGGGGTCATGCTGACGACGGTGGTGACAGTAGTGCTGTTAAGGAGCAGCTGAAGAATGTGCAGCAGATCCAAGCCTCTGACAGTGCTTTTGTTGCCATTCTTGGCGACGGATCCGTTGTCACCTGGAGTACTCCTGTTCGTGGTAGTGACAGTAGTGCTGAGATCAACTGAAACATTCCGACATCCAGGCGCTGCTCACGGGCAGCAAGAAGCGAGTCCCTTCCCAGCCAGAGTCATGTTCCTGCTGAGGTTATCTATCTATGGGCCTTGAGAATTACCTATGCTATTTTGGGGACTGCATATTATAAATAGAGTTTGATATACCCCACAACCTTATTCCTAAACCCTCAACCCTAAACCCTACACCAAAACCGTACTCTCATGATCTGCATTATGGAGATTGTTCCTGCATTACCCTTAGTAAGGACTATCTCATAATTCTCATAGTGTAGGGTCCTTCAGGTATTGCAGGATTTATATCCCGAAACCCTAAACCCTTAAACCCTTAAACCCTTAAACCCTTAAACCCTAAACCCAACCCTAAACCCTAAACCCTAAACCCTAAACCCCTAAACCCCTAAAACCTAAACCCCTAAACCCCTAAACCCCTAAACCCTAAACCGTAGGATCTTCCCAAGCCGTAGACTCCTAACTAAACCCGAAATGTCCAAAACTCTGGTTCCTAATTTCCTGAATCGGTTTAGGGTTTAGGGTTTAGGGTGTTCCCTTAAGGAGTCTATTGGGATCTGTAGGGTTTAGGGTTCAGGGTTTAGCCAACCTTTAACCCAAATCCTAAACCTTAAACCTTAAACCCACATCCTAAACCCTAAACCCAAATCCTGAACCCTCAACCCACATCCTAAACTCTCAACCCTAAATCCTAGAGCCTCAACCCTAAATCCTCGACCTTGAACCCTACACCCCGGCTCCGAAACCCTCCTGTATTCGTTCTTTGAGCCTTCTGGGAAGCAGGTCAGGTCAGACGCCCCAAGAGGATCCAAAAAGTAGATTCCTTGAATGGGGGTTCCTACAAAGTACCCTTTAGTAGTATGGGGTCTCAAAT